TGAGAGAGAATCATTGACTAACTGCCTCCTGCACGCCCCACACTGGGGATCGAGTCCGCAACCTGGGCATGTGCCCTAACCAGGAATCAAACCGTAACCTCCTGGTTCATAGATCAACCACTGAGTCATGCCAGCCAGGCACTTCCACATTATTTACTCTTATTTTCTTGATAAGAAAACTAAGATTCCACTGCTTAAGTCAACTAGTTGGGACTTCAATAATGATCATTTTGTTTCACAAAGAACAACTTTGTGTTCTTTCATCACAACACAGCTGAGCTAGACACTAAATCAATTCCAAATACTTTTAGGCAACCTCCAAGGAGAGCTCTGTGAAGGACAGAGCCTCCTGCTTCCAGGAACTCAACTGGACACATTCTTTCCATCTGCTCAGGAATAATGGCTAATGAGAATAAATATGGTGCCTTCAAGCCTTTTATTGTGTGTGGTGGTGGTGGTGGTTATAAACATGCTTTTTGTAAGCTGTTCTGTTTCCAGGGGTATGAAGAAGTGGAGAAAGTTAGAGAATCCGATATCCTAAGTTTCACAATTGGTTTTTTAAATAGTACTTAGTATCTTTTTAAAATTTATATTCTTAGCCTCGATGCCCATCAGATTCACCTGGGGAAATGTTATGAATCCTAATGCCTGGACCCCACCCCTGACAAATGAAATCCGAATCCCAGGGGGAGGGATGGTGGCATCAATGCTAAAGCTTCCCAGGTGACTTTACTATCAGTCATGATGGAGAACTATTTGTCTAGATCAGGGGTGGGGAACCTTTTTTCTGCCAGGGGCTATTTGGATATTTATAAGAATATTCATGGGCCATACAAAATTATCAACTAAAAAATTAGCCTGCTATCTTTGGTCAAACATTTAATTAACTCACCCCTAATGTCTTGGAAGGGACAGGCCAAAAGATTTTGAGGGCCTTATATGGCCTGAGGGCTGGATATTCCCTACCCCAGCTCTAGATCCTCAAATGGGTGGTGATCTATCCTATAAATCGAATATCCTACACCCCACCCCAAAGAGGACTTACCAGGTTTAACTGGAGGGCAGACTCTAAAACTGCATATACTCCCAATTCACAAATTCAGCTTTCCTAGAGGGATAATGCTCTGCCCTTCATGTGTGTTGACTAGTTAGACCAGCCTGCGCCCAGAGCCAATTAAATCCCAGTGGAGTGGAACCCAGGCATGAGCCACCGCTAAACCTCTCAGGTGAGGCCCATGTGCAGCCAAGCTGAGAACCACCACTTTAATGGTGCCTGCTTTGTTTGGAAGAGGAAGTAAAGGCAAAGCTGCCCCCATTAACCCCAGTGAACGACAGTAACCTGGCAGCAGCTATCATGCGTGCTAAGCACTGGCTCTCCCCATTGAGATTTATGGCCTTGGGCAAACAACAGAACCTGAACTTGGCATGGTGCCATCATCCCCAGCACTAATTACAGCTTAAATAATTCTCGTCAGTTTGTGCATAAAATAAATGGACCTCAATTTAAGACAACTTCCCCACTGTGTCCTGGTTAATGGATTCACAATTTACAGGTCTTCACAATCGTAAATAGACAAGTTTTATTTTCACACAGAGAAGAAGATATTTAAACCTAGTCATCTCAACATGAAATTTTTTTTTTTAACTAGATATTGGGTCATGGAAAAAATATTGCTTACATGGTCAATGATAGTAGGATAACAACATGTACTCTATTCAATCACTAATCAATATGATTATCACTAGCGTCTTTCAATTTATTCATTGCTTCTTGTCATCAATTTCATTCATTCTTTGGCAAGTAGGAGAGAAAACAGGTTGCAGACATCAGTATGAAGAATGGCAGCTGAATGATAAGACTATACACCCAGAACATGCAAAGAAAGAAAGTGAGTTTATTAAATAATTTGGACAAGCAGTGAGAAGAGAAATATCCACTACTGCACTGTTTTCTTTAGCAACTGTCTCCCAACAAAAACCGCATCCTCATCCACGGACAGAAAAAGAACATGCCAGCACAGGCCATCTGCTTAAGGTTCCAGTTCTGAACCCCGGGACAAAAGTATCCTATATAATAAAAGGGTAATGTGCAAATTGACCCTAATGGCCGGGAACGACCGGTTGCTATGATGCGCACTGACCACTAGGAGGCAGATGCTCAATGCAGGAGCTGCCCCCTGGTGGTCAGTGTGCTTCCACAGGGGGAGCGCCACTCAGTCAGAAGCTGGCTCATAGCTGGCCAGCAGAGCGGCAGTGGCGGGAGCCTCTCTCACTTCCGCAGCAGGACCAAGGATGTCTGACTAATGGCTTAGGCCCACTCTCCTGGGGGCAGCGGGCCTAAGCCGTTAGTCTGACATTCCCTGAGGGCTCCCGTGCTGCCAGAGGGATGTCTGACTGCCAGGTTAGGCCCGGTCCCCCAGGGAGCAGGCCTAAGCTCTCAGTCGGACATTACCCGAGGGGTCCTGGACTGCGAGAGGGCACAGGCCAGGCTGAGGGAACACCCTCCCCCCGCACCAGTGCATGAATTTTCATGCACCAGGCCTCCAGTCTTTTAATAATTAAAGTAAGCTTTATTACATAACAATATATTTCTCATGGTCTGATTTCAAAGCATTAACTAACTATGAATGAAATGAATGAAAACCAATAAGGTCTTCCTTTCCTGGCTCCCTGGGACCAACCTTGGACCAGCTGGGTGATCAACAGCTGCTGCTGAATATGTAAATGAGAGGAAGGCGAGGTGGCAAAGAAGTCTAACCAAGCTGGAGTTGGCACAGCTGGTCCAGTGGCCTCAGAAGCAAGACCTAGGGATCTCAGGAGCAGAGCCAGGCAGAGTGCTGAAATGGGAACCTGGGCAAATGCATGCTTAGGCCCTCTTTTTAAAAAAATATGTTTTTATTGATTTCTGAAAAAGGAAGGGATGGGGAAAGAAAAAGAAAGATTGGCTGCCTCCTGCACGCCCCCTACTGGGGATCGAGCCCACAACCTGACTGGAAATTGAACCGGCAACCTCTTGGTTGATGCACCGGACGATGCTCAACCAACTGAGCCACACCAGCCAGCAGGACCTCTTTTGTGTAACAAGATGGTGGGATGTGGACTTGGGCAAGCTGGGTGCCATGACAGAGAGATAGGGAGCTAACCCAGTGGTAGTTAGGGAGGAGGTAAGGCAGGTACAATAGTTCGCATTTCTCCCAGAGGAAGCACACTGTGTTGACAAGGACTCTGCACAAATGCCCCTGGTTTCGTGCTTCTTTTGCAGGCTGGCCTAAGCCTCAGAGAGACCCGGCCCTGGCCATGGGCAGGGGATGCTGCTGATTCTAGATGGATAACCTGGTATTTTAAGTTCTTAGGAGAGGAGTAACAAAGCTAAATTCCTAGGAGAGTAGTGAAAAGAACTTAGCACCTGCCAAAAAGAAATACAAGATAATAAATGATAATAATGTGGATTTTTTGGCTATTTTAACCAAGCAGAAGATAACTCAGAAGATTATGCTGTTCCTAACAACCTATGGGGATCACAGTGAGGCCACGTGACCTCCTTAGACCTTCACAAATGGAGGAGTTTTTAACTATGCATGAGGACAGAGCCCCACAGAAAAGGAGAAAGAAGAATTTGTGTGGAAAGACTACAAGATGTTAAAAAAAATTACAATGTGCCAGGCAAAGCGGATCAAACATATCTGATCTGCATCCCCCTTTTCCTGACGTTCAAGCCCACTTCACTGTCCAGTGACTGGCAGTTATTCAAGGAATATATGTACGGAATGCAGTGCAGTCATTAAAAAATCACACCGGGAAGGGCACTTCTTGACCTATTAAAAACCAGCATATTATATGGATCAATTTTAGGAGAAATGGTTAAAAAACAAATTCATCAATAATCTGCAACATGAACCAGAATGCTAATAGTAGTCATCTCTGAATTATGGAATTAGTACTGGTTTTTTTTCCTCTTCTCTTTTCTTTCTTTCTTTCTTTTTCTTCTTTTATATTTTTCAAGTTTTAATAACCATGTGTTAATTTTTCAGTTAGAGAAAAAGCCATTGTTTTACAAGGGTTTTCAAGTTTTAATAACCATGTGTTAATTTTTCAGTTAGAAAAAAAGCCATTGTTTTACAAGGGTTCAAGTTAAACATCCTGCAACACAATTTTAGACAATAAGGTCTTGATGAAAATGGCCACCACAGTACCTCTGATTTTAGGTTGCTGACAAGGAGAGGATCCTAAACGTTTCCATTGGGGTTACTACCCACTAGGGCAGTGATGGCGAACCTTTTGAGCTCGGCGTGTCAGCATTTTGAAAAACCCTAACTTAACTCTGGTGCCGTGTCACATATAGAAATTTTTTAATATTTGCAATCATAGTAAAACAAAGACTTATATTTTTGATATTTATTTTATATATTTAAATGCCATTTAACAAAGAATAATCAACCAAAAAAATGAGTTCGTGTGTCACCTCTGACACGCGTGTCATAGGTTCGCCATCACTGCACTAGGGGATGCTAACCACTGGGGACCCTGAACTTATTGGGGAGAGAGCACCCTTGCCACCTACATTCTCCTTTCCTCTGGAAAGTTCCAGAAACTCTGGCGAAGGCATTGAGCTGGGACAGTCCAGACAATATATGTAGAATGTGCACGTATATCTAATTATATTCATTCATCTCTATAAATAAATGTTAACATGAGAAAATATGTGTTCAACCCAATGATCTGCAACCAAATCCGGGAGTTCCAGGCCCCCAGTGACAATCACTCCAGGTCACAGAAATCCTGCACGTAAAAATGAGAAGAAAAACTAGATAACAAAATAATCCAGAAAGGAATCCCAGGTCACCAGCCCTCAGAAGCCAAAGCCAGAACTCTGAGGCCCCAGACACAGATCTTGCTGCTGGCCCTGGACACACAAGGGCCTGAAAAGTACTATGGCTCTCAGAGCCCAAAGGCAAGAACACAGTATGGCATGAGGGGTGTGGGGGTGGGGGGCTACTCACGCTGTCGTTGCTTCCTTTGTTGTCCTCATACTTGGTTTCTATATGAATGGAGAATTTCGGCAAGAAGGAACACTATGGAAAAAGAGAAGGTTTCATTAGCATACCATTTTTTTCTATTCGCATCTTCAATATAGGCTCTGGATGCTCTTCTGACCACTTGCTTGGGAACACTGTTTGCAACCAGAAAGGCTCAGATACCAGGTCAATATCCAAATTCAGACAAGAAAAGCCACCTTTGGCAACGTGAACACAAAATTTCATCCAGAAGTCAGGCTGGAGAGAATGCCAAGCAATGGAAGGCAAGTCACTGAAAAGGATGTTTTCAAAAGGATTGAGAGGAGCAAACACCTGAATCAGAGGCAATTCCAGCTTTGGGCCTACCTCTGGGCAACAGCGATCACTGCTGGAACCCGGGGACCCAGCCTGACCCTTTTATAAACATTCATATAAAGCTAGACAGGGGGCACAGCAGAACCTTAAGGTCATACATTACTGAAGTCAGAGAGACCTGGCTTTTAGTTGGGGTTTATCACTTGATAGCTATGTGACTTTGGACAGACAAATTGATGAATTCTTCTGAACCCTAACAGTATTAAAACATGGATACTCATTATTACCTAATAGTGTGAGGGTTAAATAAAATCAAGGGCATAGAGTCAGCATTCAGTATGAGGCTACAGCTGAGCTTGACATAAAAGGCAGCCCCTCTTCCTGATGGCACAGGGGAGAGGAACCCCGAATGCTCACCACCCTAGTGTCCCCATTTCACTGAGTTACATTCTATGGATTCAGCGAGATTTTAGAGATTAAGGTAGCTTAATAAGAGGATTAAAAAATTTTTTTTATTGATTTCAGAGAGAGGAAGGAAGAGAAACATCAATGAGAGAAACATCGGTCAGCAGCCTTCTGCATGCCCCCTACTGGGGATTGAACCTGCAACCTGGGCATGTGCCCTGACCAGGAATCAAACCTGCGACCTCCTGGTGCATGGGATGAAGCTCAACCAATTGAGCAACACTGGCCAGGCCAACAAGAGGATTTTGATGGATGTTGATGTAACCTCCCTCCTGCTGGCACCAGGCTGGGCATTAACTTTCTTGGCCACCGGAAATGGGACTGAAGACAATTGGGTAAAATGACCCAGCAACTCCACTGGGAGCTGCAGGTTTAGGGGAAATGAGAGTTGGACTGATCTGCTCAGTTCCCAGAGCACAGATTTGACCCCAGGCACTGGCCTAAATTCTAATTAATTTATGCCTTGCATCCATCCCAGGAACAAGGTACTATTTATTATTACCCTGCTCTAAAGATAAGGAAATAAAGGCACAGAGAGGTTAAGAAAATGGCTCATGATCACACAGCCAGTGAATAGTTGAGTTGGGTTTGAAGGTCTGGTGGCCTGGGCCCAGTGTCCATCCCCACTGATTCTCAAAGTGGGGGTCTCTGAACTGTTAGTAGCAGCAGCAGCAGCAGCCGCCAGCGCCTGGAACTCATTAGAATTGCAAATTCTTGGGTCCAAAACGACCCACTGAATCAGAAACTCTGGGAGCCCTTCTGTATTTAACGAGCCCTTCAGGGCCTGCTGATGCTCACCCAAGTGGGAAAACCGCCTCACTACTTCATGCATAGGAAGTAAACAGAGATAACGCATTATCTAAAATCCGGAAGTCCACAGTACCCACCCTCACCCACAGTACCCATCCTCACCCGTGTGCAGATGGCTCCCTTTCAGCCCAGTGAAGACCCCGAGGCATCTGCACAATAAGGCAGGGGCCTTGGATGTGCCACTGAAAATTCTCCTGATGCCACACGCCTGTGTGATTTGGCACTCGTCTGTCTCAATCCGGTGAAACAAGCAAGGAAACTCAGAACCAGACAATCCCAGTAATTGCCTTTATGGAGAACGTAGCCCTGCAATTTCATTCATTGACACCTTCCTTGCAGTCTTCTCTCCAACCTCTCACTCCATAACTGCTGCCCTCACTCCCAGGTCCAGGGGGTTCCAAGGAGGGGCTGCTCATTGGGAATGGAGACCCTGAGGACTCAGCGGCTTGGAGCCCACAGTAGAGCTCTCCATCAACCCTGAACTTGGGGAGATGTACCTGCCCGAGACCCTTTTCAAAGCAACAAGCCTTCAGGTAAGCAGATTTGTCCTTTTTAACCCATAATTCATATGAGAGTCAATCCAACTTGAGTACAGTACCAGCTGGCAAAAGAACAGAGCAGTGCAGCATGGGGACTGGGCTGGGTGCATCGGAGTGGAACCCCACAAGGATTTTTTATTGGTTGAACCTCAAAACCATTTATCTAAGGTCAAACAAATGAATCTTAGCATTTGGGTATTGAACCCGAATAGGAAAATAAAAACTCTTATGCAAATCAGCAGATGTTATTTTTGAGTTGAGGATCTGGGTTATTTTCATATTTGAATGGCAAGGCTGCCAGAGGCTGTGAGTGCACCTGGTGGGCAAGGCAGCGAGAGGACCAGATCAGACAGGCCATCTCCAGGAGGGTCAGCATTTTTCTCCTACTGCAGTGGTTTGGGGCTGATAATTCCCTTGGGAACTCAGTGGCTGTTACTCGGAGCCCTCGAGAGTGTACCTGTCTTAAGTTAAAAGTCAGGTATATCTGTGGCTCGGGGCCTATTCAGAGCTGTCACTAAAACCTTTCCACTAAGATGTCCATGATGAGATAAACTTCTGCTTTCCCATGCAGATTAGCATCCCTAAAAATAGGCCCACTGATCCTCATGGAGCCTTAGCTCTCAGGAGTACAGGACAGGAAAAAAGGTTGGGAACTCTGACATAACTTCAAGGAGAGAGACATTGGGTGTGTCACCCAGTGGCTAAAACTGGATGTTAAGGGATTCAGGAGACTCATACGCTCTATGGCACACTGAGCGGTTCAAGTCCCATTGGGCCACAACAACATGAAGGACAGACTAAAACACTCCTGTTGACAGAGTTCCCAGATGGACCCCAAGATTCCCAGCATCTGGGATACAGATCTTGTATCACTCCTCCCCTATTATTAGGACAAGACCTAATAATATGGGATAGCAGCACATTTGATTAAATTACCAAAGTGATCAGGTTATGCTACATTATATAAGACTTGTGTTTGTTTTTTTAAAAAATATATTTCTACCAGAGGCCTGGTGCATGAAATTAGTGCACAGGTAGGGTCCCTAGGCCTGGCCGGTGATCAGGGCTGATCGAGCCTTCCAGCTGCTGGCTGGGGCCTTCCTTCGTTCCGCATCACCTCTTGGTGGTCAGCACACATCATAGTGAGCAATCGAACTCTCCGTCTCCCAGTTGAACTCCCGAGGGGACAATTTGCATATTAGGCATATATATATATATATTATATATTATATATATATAATATATCTCAATGATTCTCTTTGATTTTAGAGAGGAAGGAAGAGGAAGAGATAGAAACATCAATGATAAAAGAGAATAATTGATTGGCTGTCTCCTGCATGCCCCTCACTGGGGATCGAGCCTGTAACCTGCGCATGTGCCCTGACCAAGAATCGAACCATGACCTCCTGGTTCATAGGTTGACGTTCAACCACTGAACCATACCGGCTGGGCTGTGAGACTTGTTTTTAGAAGAAGCAGAGGTTCCCTTGTTGGTTTTACGGAAGTAAGCTGCCATGTCTAGAAGCTGAGGAGCTGAGAGTGATCCCTGGAGGCCAGCCAACTAGAAAACGGGACCTCTTTCCTACAACCGAAAGGAACGGAACCCTGCCAACAGCCAGTGCGCGTAGAAGAGGACCCTGTGCCTCAGATGAGCCCAGAGCCATGGCTGACACCTCAATTTCAGCCTGGTCACGTTCTGAGCCAAAGACCCACCTCACCTGGGCCCCAAAGGAAATGTGAGATGATAAATTTGTGATGTGTTAGGCCACTAAATTTGTGGGAAATTTGTTACACAGCAATCGAAAACCAATGCAACACCCAACCTCCAGAATCCAACCACTGCTTCCTTTCCTAATCTCCCATCTGGCTCATCTGAGTAAAGTATACTCACTTTGAGGCTGGAGCACATCTAGGGCAATGGGGAATTCGTACTCTTTTTAACTTAGTAGTTCCACCTGTGATGTCATCTGCTTTATCGATGGCCACTGTTTCTTGTCTAGGGTGAGATTTACTAGTAACTGATACCACTAAGCTTGCCATTAGTTGGCGTCCAGGTGCAGTAGTGTGTGGCTAGCCCACAGGGAGGACGCATGGTGGTTCAGTAGAAAAAAAATACAGGTTTTGGAGTGAAGCAGACTTTAGATCAAACCCCAGCTTCTTTTCTCACAAACTGTGACTTTGGGCAGATTCCTTAATCCTCTTGAGCTTCAGTGTTCTCATCCATAAAATGGAGACAATACCAACCTCACAGTAGGGTGAGGATTAAATGCTATAACACATGTCCAAGACCAGGCAGTGTCTGCTAGAGCAGTCACTCGAGCAATGTGGGCCCATCCTGGTGTACCCCTTCCCATGAATGAAATCCCACAGGCTACCTGGGGGGGGAAACAGAGCTGGGGTGGGGGAGGGCCTCTGCCGTGTAGGTGTGAGGATGCATCGGGAGGCTGTGGGCTTTCTGGGGCGGCGATGACATGGGTGGTGGCCACGACACAGAGCTTGCTCGCCTTCAGCATGGCTCTGGCCCCTGAGCTGCTCTGTTGTTGAGGACGTCATTACATCTTCCAGGTCCACCCTCTCATTGTCCTCCTTTTCCCAAAGGGTTCGCAGTTCCTTTTTCTGCACAGAAGCCCTCTCCCCTCACCCGTTCCCAGCTCTCTCTAGACTCCCTGCCAACTTCGTGCAGGGAAACAAGCATACCACCAGGATCTCTGTGTACTTTCTTTTTTCCTAGATCTAAAGGCTTTCTGCTTGCTGGTTCACTCAGTCTTTTTATGAAAACTGAGGTGCAAAGAAATTAAGAAATAGCATTTAAAAAAATCAGCATAACAAACACACAACAGCTTTTGGGAGCCGCGGGGTCCCACTTGATGACCCTGCTTCCAGGTAGAGGGCGGGTGGTGACTGAGCAGTGTGATGAAGCGGGGGACA